AGTGGCGGTGCCTGTCTGAACCTAGTGTATTGATCTGTCAGGAGGAGGAAACTCACCCCCCATTGGATGCAACCCTATTCCAAACTAGAGTGTGGGAGGTCTGCGATGAGGATGGTGATTGGTCCTATAGAGCTTTCGTCCAAGGTAAAACATTGATGGAGCTAAAGATTGACCCGAAGCTATGGGGATGGCAGGGGGAAGGGGAAGGTGGAGCTGATTTTCCTCTGTCCCAGTATTCGGTAGCTCAAGGCTACAATGCTCAACGCCCCACTCTTTCCCCTCTGCAGAGAGCTACCACACGCTGGAGACAGGTGATAGATTGTGAAAACAGTCAGATTAAGAAGGCTATCCATCGTTGCTGGGCTCAACTTTCGCAGGCCCCCAATCTGCGTGCTGCAGTCAATCCATGGTTGCTCTCCCTGTTTGCGCCCCCTTCGGCGGTTACCCTGTTACAACGAGGTATGCAGGTGGATCTAACATGCAAAAGGTGTGAGTGGGCGTTTGAATCTACCACACACCTTTGGTATGATTGCCCCGCCTCGAAAAACATCTGGGATTGGTGGCAAAAATTTTGGACATCCATCTCTGGTAATTGTACGCCGTGGGATAGGCTGTGGGTTTTATTGGGAGGGATTCCAGACAATATGGACCTATACAAAGGATGGGGATACGTCGCTCAGGCCGCCAGGGCCGTGGGATGTGAAGTTATTTGGAAGCAACGCAACCTGCGAATCTTCGAGAACAGAGAGCTAACCAATAAAGAAATCAGAACTGGGTTTAAATCCTCTCTGCGACGCACCATTCAGGCGGATTGGATAAGGAAAGGTAAGAGATCTTCGGGAAGATGGTTTGGTGAAACTTGGGGCTTGGGTGGGAAGCTGGTTAGACTGGAAGAAGGCAAACTCGTGTTCAACGAATGGTTCTGGTCTGGTTAGACTAGAATAGGAACCTGGGTGCTCGGTTGATTTCCGCAGGAGGAAGGCGGTTGTTGTGGAGGGAGTGCCAGTAGAAGTTGGGGCTGGTCCCTCTGGGGTCCGCCTGTCACTTTAGACAGAGAATTTTAGTTAGGTGGCTGTGTGGTATAGGATAGCACTTGAAACAGTTGTTTCAGTTTGTTGTAGTCTATTCTCCCCCTTTCTGGACAGGCTGTTGGTGTGTTAGCTACTATCTTGTAGGTTGGATCGGCGACCTTTGGTTTGTTCGGTTTTTAAGGCTTGTAGCAGTTTTTGTTGCTGGAGTGGTTTCAGGACAGCGGCCTGGATTTGGTCATTTCTGTGCCTAGATTAGCCAACTCCATGGGCGAGCCTCGGCTCGTAAGCTAAACTGGCTGATGCTGCCAGGATAACTCGGGTGGAATTGTGAGGTCCCCGGCCTCGTTTCTCTGTCTATAATGGGAAGGGTCTTGAACCCTGCAATTAAAAAAAAAAAAAAAAAAAGATTGCTGACAGCAGGAAGAGGGGTTCAGTTCCCAACAGCCCACCAGAGCCCAGTCGTCCTATCTTTGAAGCATTTGAAGTCTATACCTGCTGAAGATCAGGACATGAATGGTCGATGCTGGTGCCACCGCAAGAGCACACACATTTGCCAGCTGGAGTTTCCTGCGGAGTCTAACGGAAAACTGGGTGGCACCCAGCCCATACTGCTCAATGGTACACGCATGCAACTGTCCATGAACCGATCACGAGTTCGAATCGTGAAAGTGAAACTCAAGGATACAACAAGGTTAGGGACTACCGGTCTTCACCCGAAGAGAACGCCCGGTCATTATAGCTGTATCTAGACTGAAAATTGCACCAAAAACGGCTATAACGACCAGGCGTTCTATTCGGGTGAGTTGCACTTGGGGACATCGTTAGAGCGTTAGCGCCAAGGCGGGCAGCTGCGACTGGCTCCGCTTGTTTCGCCGCGCTGAGGTGATGTCATGTGACGCCCTACACTCCGTCCACCGAGCTGTTCAGTCATCTCATCGGTTGCGCGATCCTGAAAGGCCTACCAGCTGGTACACCCAGGAAGTGCTGAACTGCGGCCAACGCGGGTTCAAATCCCTAACTTACCTTAGGCGAGTTGGGTTCTCGCCACACCACTGTCGAAACAAAAGAAGCACTGTCTTCCACAAAAAAGTGGCCAGAAGAAAAAAAAAGAAAAAAGAAAAAGTGGCCAGATGCATCTGTTGCTATTCATAGGAACCGATGTATCTTGCCACTTTCTTTGGGAACATGCATTTGAACGTTTTTCGTTTCGACAGTGGTGTGGCGAGGCCCTTAGTTGGACGATGGTATCTTTGGAGGGGCGGTTGTGGCGGTAGTGGAATCCGTCCGGGTCATTGATTGGCTGGTTGGCCTTGTTCCGTGGTCTATCGATCTGTGTAAAACCGACGGTGGAGATTGTCCCTTGGCAGTGCAATGCGCGACAGCCTTGAGGGGTCATCCTCCAAGTAGCCGGCCCCAGGGAAGAGTTTGAGTCCTGGGGCCAGGTCCCACTAGATGGTGTTCTTCACATCTGCCCATGGATCTGTGTATTCCCGCCACAATCGGCGGTCAAGAATGAAGAACACACGCCAGTGGGACCTAGGCCCTGGGCGCACAACTCACCACATATGGTATCTTTCATGAGGTCTGTTTGGGTGAACTTCGAGGATGACGGGAGGTACCGCATCTGGGATGTTTGAGTGACCCCGAAACCGAAAAATCCTCAACGTGTTGTGAAAAAAACGACGAGAGGTATGGCGGGTGAACTTTTCCATGGCATAGCAGGAAGGTGCATGGTCCATTTCGCAAATTTGGTGAGTAGTGCGGCGAGATGAGCGGGTCCTGGAGCGAAACGAGCAACAACCCTAATGTCTGCCTCAGGGCCAGGGCGCACTGGTGCTATGTGCATGCTAACCAGGAACATAGCACATTGCACCTACCGGTAGCACAGTGGGGCTGACTCTGAGGTTATTGGGCGGGCCCAGCGAGGTCCGATTGTAGTCTTTTTTTTTGTTGTAATTTGTTGGTCTTGCTGGGCGGGACCGAGACCGCAGAGCGTTGGAGATTGTAGCCCCTCTGTCGGGAGCCCTACCGACCATTGACCCCCTCCAGGGCACCAGGGAGTCTGGACGAGCAGAACGAATTACCGGTCTTCTATCGTGGAAGAGTCGGGGGTTATAGCGACTTCTTGGGCGGGATGGGGGAGAAAAGGCGACAAGAAAGAGAGAGAGAGAGAGAGAGAGAGAGAAAGAGAACACCTCTGCATCTCACGTAATGGAGCACGAGGACAATCCCCGGTGTCGAACACGTCGGTCGCTCCACGGCACGGGTCTGTTATTTTGGCACGTGTTCGTTGGGCGTTGAATTCGGTGAATCCCGCCCACGTCGCAGGCGACTTGGCACTGACCGTGCATTGCGTGGCATGGAAAAAAGTGCTCTCTCTCTCCCTCTCTCTCTCGTGACCGCCGGTGTGGACTTCGCGCGCGCGTTACGTGTCTCGCGAATGGCAGTCATTCTGCAGCTGCGCGCAGGAAAAAAAGCGGATCCGCGTTCTTCATTGGCCGCTGTTCTTCCTGATCGCTTTGGCGCGCAGCGCGTTCGCAGCCCACAAATTGAATTCCCGCGCAAAGGCGGGAAAGCAAGCAGACAGTCCTGCAGTCCTCGGGCGGGCCACGGCAGGCAGCCCACTGGAGTGGTCCCCACCATGTCCGGACGCCACGTCATGAAACCATCCGCTCACGTGGGAAGACTGTTGATTGGGAGCCGAGAGCCGGGGTCTGATCGATAATATTTGCGCGCGTCAACAAAATATCGTTCTCCTCCCTCCGTCCACAGCCCCTGCCCACGTCTACCCGCCTCCCATTTCATCTACGCACGGTATCTTCGAGATTTTTCGGTTTCGCGGTCACTTTATTCCCTCCCCCTTATACACGTGAACTAAAAGTCCAACCGGGAGCTCTTTCCCGTTACCTCTCTCTCTCTCTCTCTCTCTCTCTCTCTCTCTCTCTCTCTCTCTCTCTCTCTCGGGGTCACTTCATTCCCCCTTATACACATGATCTAAAAGTCCAACCGGGAGCT